CTGACCCCAGGGCTCTGCCCACACCACCCCACTCTGGGTGGCAGCAAGATATGAGATGGAATTAGGGCTCCTGCCTGAAATCCCTGAGATCTGAGTCAGGCTTTAAAGAGTTAAAGCAAATTATTTGCTGCCAAGAGAGCTGGTGGGGCACTGGAAGGACACAGGTGTGTTTGGTGAGCCTTGTGCAGATCTGAATTCCTAAGGGGAGCTGATTGTGGTGCCCACACTCGGGGCAAGGCAGCCGCAATCCCCCTTTGTAGGTTTGACCCTGTGTTTGATGCCATGGGATTGTCACAGATCCCAGGCAGGGGTTTGCATCCTAAGGGATCCTCTCCACGGGATTAGCAGGTCACATTTATTATGCAGAGGAGGTGGTTGAGGATCTGTTAGATGAATAGCAGAGCTTGTGGTTTGTGATCTGTCTTCCGGCTAGGAGCACTGAAGGACAGAGAGGACAGAAAAAATGGGGGTTAAAAAGGAGCTGGGAGCAGAAGGGGACACCAGAGAAGGAGACTGGGCCAGGGAGAAGCTCAGCAGGAGGAGAGGAGGGTGGAAGAGGAAGGGAGCAAAGCTCAAGGGCTCTGCCAAAGATTAAATGGAAAAAGAAATTGCTGTGCAGCAGTTTCAGCCCAGAACAGAGGGAGCTGCACAGGCTCCTCGAGCTGCCCAAGTGCATTTAGAGCAACAGAAACACCAGGCTCTGACAGGGCCAGGAGACCCAGGCAGGTGTGGAGGGGGGAAATGGGGAGAGGAGCAGGCCCAGGGGAGCAGGGTCCCACAGGCAGGGCATGCTCCTGCCCAGCCACATCCAGAGTGCACTGCCCTTGCTGCTGGTGCACGCAGCCCTGGAGGCTGACGGAGGTTATATAACCCTTCCCGACAGCTCTTTCCTCTGCACCCAGCGAGGCTGAGGGAGCAGCCTGGGCAGCCTTTCCCCTGTGCCCAGACGGACACAGCCAGCCTCAGCCTCTGAGACAGCTGAGCAGCACATCCTGCCCCACTGGCACTCCCAGCGAGCTGTGCTGGCTGAGCTGGCACCCAGGACATGGCACCAAGCCCCGCTGGGAGGCCGCAGAGGCACTTGGCCAGGGAAGGAGATGGTTGGATTTTGGGTTCTTGCAGGGAGCAACTGGTGGATGAAGCCTGGAGCATCACTCACGTGTGGGAGCAGACACAGGGGATAACAAACTGCAACTTTATGCACCTAACTCAAAATAAACTTTCTTTTTAAAAAAAAGTATCTAAAAAGAATGATTTTTCACTTTTTTTTTTTATTATTTTGAAATTATAAATTATTGAAAGACTTCTCATTACTCTCACAAATCATTCTCAGGCAAAGAAAAGGAAGAAAAGGCAGTTCTACCTTCAACAGTGCTTTGTAACAAAATGAGTCAGATTCATTTTGCTCATGATTTGCCCTTGGCTCCCTTTGTCCATGTCTTAAACTACATCCTGGCCTGGTCTGATTAGCAGCATCCCCTCGGGGGCAGAGGAGGCCCTGCAGGAGCTGGAGGTGTTGCAGGTCAAGATTAAAGCACTCTGCACGCCATTCAATGTCAAAACTATAACTGGCTTAACTCAGTGCAATTAGATGGCTCAGAGGTTACTGAGTAACGGCAGCAGTGTTTCAGCGCAGGTGATTAAAGCACAGCCCTGGCATTAAGGGATGTGATTAAAAGGCAGTGTCAGGGCTGAGACCTGGCAAAGGAGCTCAGCAGGCAGGGTTAAATCCACAGCTTCTTCTGGGGTTGGATACCCCAGGGCCTGGAAAAGAGCTCTTAAGTATCAGCTGAGCCAGCTCAGCTTTTAGGTCTGGAATGCCATCTTGTGATGGCAGTGGGGAAGTGGAAATGGCCTCTCTGGAATCATTGGAGATGATGGAATTATAGAACGGGTTGGGACAGAAGAGACCAAAAAAGCAATTTTACCCCTCCCCCCCCACCATGGGCAGGGACACCTTCCACCATCCCAGGCTGCTGCAAGCCCCAGTGTCCAGCCTGGGCTTGGGCACTGCCAGGGATCCAGGGGCAGCCACAGCTGCTCTGGGCACCCTGTGCCAGGGCCTGCCCACCCTGCCAGGGAACAATTCCTGCCCAATATCCCATCCAGCCCTGCCCTCTGGAAGTGGAAGCCATTCCCTGTGTCCCTGTCCCTCCATCCCTTGTCTCCAGTACCTCTCCAGCAGGTGAGCAGCCCCAGCTCTCCCAGCCTGGCTCTATGGCTGCTCCAGCCCTGGGAGTGTCTCCATGGCCTCCTCTGGACTTGCTCCAGCAGCTCCATGTGCTTCTGATGCTGGAGCAGCTCTGCAGGGGGGGGTCTCATAGGGACAGAGTAGAAGGGGACAATCCCCTGCCTCCCCTGCTGCCCACTCCTCTGTGAGGGCAGCCCAGTGCAGAGGGGTTCCAGGGCTGCCGCTGCACATTGTTGGCTCATGCCCAACTTTTCATCCATGATATCCTCCAAGTCCTTCTCTGCCGGTCGATGAGCTTTTCTCCCGGCCTGTGCTCGTGCCTGGGATTGCCCTGACCTGGGTGCAGCACCTCAGAGTGCTGAATCTCCCAGAAGAGAAAAAGGCAGCATTAAGGCCATGGCTGCCCCACCACCTCAGCTGTGTGGGAGCCGAGCAAGGCTGGTATCACTCATAGTGCAGTGCGAACCCAAACACCCACAACGCGTCATCATCGCGGTCCCCAGCCACGGCAGACACTGAGGGGACAAAAGTTCCTCTCACCAGAGCCCATCCCTGCTTGGCTGTGGGGCTGGACATGACCACCATGGTAAATGATGATGTACATCCACAAATCTTTTCTTCCATAGGCTAACTGAATTGTCTTCCTCTTCCCATGGTACTACTCTGTCTTTTTCTCCAGTGACTGATGGTGTGGCCAAATGGCGTTGAGCCAAAATCTGATCAGTAGGGAAGGAGCACAGTACCAACCCTGCAGTGCCAGAGCTGAAGGTGAGCAGCGATGTGGGGCAGCACTGAGCCCTGGGCACAGTGTGGTGTGTTCAGGGCTGAGGTGACAGTAAAGGATCTCTCTTGCTGCCACAGAAGCTGCAGACGTCGGCTACACGGGGGGATGTCCCATCCCAGGCTTGGAGCACACGTATTTTGAAGCATTACAGCTCCATGCCAGTGCAGATCTCTTGAGTGGATGCACTGTGCCAGCAGACAGTGCTCGTGTCCTGGTTTAACCCACCCTAATTTATGGGAGCCAAATCACTCAGATGTGATTCCTCCTTTATGCTGTAACTGAGCATTCACTCAACAGGGGTTACCCAGGCTTCTGGAGCCTGTTGCTTTGAATACAAGCTGCAGGGCTATGCTGGGATGCAGGGAGCTCAGGGGAGACTGTGTCTAGACTAGAGGAACTCTCCTGAAGGCTAGCTGAGATTTTGTTTTGTAATAACTCATATCTTTAATCTGGCTTGGAACAAAGCATCTCAGTCCCTTCAGGCCACAACACTTACAGGAGAAAAGGAGGATCTGTTTAGCTGTTACCAAGCCAAGATGAACAATAGGGACTGGCTGCAAGTGATACAGGGAACACATTCCTGTGACAGAAAAGAGCTTCACTCCCATGGCAGAGCTGCTGTGTTTCATCTGGTTTCATGCTTTTCACCCAAAGTTCACAAATTATGTACAGGCCTTTGTTTGAGCCTCCCCCTGAGGCCAGCAAGCAGAGTCAAAACTGTGCACACAGAGGGAATCTATACTGGGAAGTGAGAGGCTGGTCCTGGCACCGAGAGCTGCTGAGTTCTGGTATTTGGCATTCAGGAAGCTTTTGAAGTCTCTCCTGATCCTGCTGAAAATGTCTTATTGAAAGAAACAAAGCATATTAATTTGGGCCCCATGCTGCGCTAATGAATTAAACAGCTTCCAAACTGAAGCTGTGGCTTAGGGTCTCAGCAGAGTCATCATCCATCCCTGTGTGGGCACGTGCCCTCGGCCACGGGCAGCAAGAGCCCCAGGAACAAGAGCATGAAGCGCTCTGTGTCTGCTTTCACCCATGCCTCCACCAGCCAGCTTCTGCTGCACTGGGCACAGCTGGGAAAGCTGCTCCTCAGCAGGTCCATCACTGACAGGGGAAGCACCGGACTCCTTCACCCAGCACCAGCCTCTCTCCCTGCATGCAGCCGTGACCAGGGCACAACAAGCCCAGAGCTTCCCAGGACAAGGCAGGATCAGGCTGAGCCAGGAAGGAGCACCCCCACATCCGGGAAGAATAGCTGCCTGCATTGGGCTGAAAATAGCCCATGAAGTGTTTGAAGAAGACAGAGCTGGAGTGGATGATTGCCTGAGGCAAGGCACAGCTCCAGCTGAGTTCATTGCTGAGCTCTGAGAGCATAAGCACATGAAGAGCATGGGGGAGGGATGCCAGGCTTTCTGGAAAGGCCTTGAAGTGTCTCACTGGAGCACAAAGCCCAGAGAAAAACTTCCTTTGAGTGGATCCCCTGCGAGGGAGGTCACAGTTACACTGTTGTGCCCTGACATGAATACACAGAGCACTGGGCTGATGTTAAGGCATCCAGTGGAGGCCAGGGAAGATGTGGAATTGTGCTTCTCCCAGCGAGGCACTTGGCAGCACTACAACTTTTTCTCTGCTTATTTCAGGGCTCTTTTTTTTTTTTTCTGGCAGCTGTTTCTGAGCTGACACTTCTACCTCCTGTGTCTGAAGTGGGACACATGACGGGCAAGCAGAGAGGCAGCTCACCAGCCCTCTGCTTCCCGTGAGCTGGTGCTTGAGTTCAGTTCTCCCAGCTCCACAGATCCTGTGTTTCCTGCTCTGGTTCTGTAAGGGATGCTGGAAGTGTCCAAGGCCAGCTTGGACGGGGCTCGGAGCAACCTGGGATAGTGGAAGGTGTCCCTGCCCATGGTAGGGGGTGGGACGAGATGATCTTTAAAGTCCCTCCCAGCCCAAGCGCTCTGTGACTGATTATCGAGGGTTTTTCCCCGCCCCGGGGGGAGCGGCCAACGTGAGCGGGGCGGTGCCGCTGGAATCACCTCGGCAGCGCGGTAGGCTTTGAGCCTTTTCTGCCGCTGCTATGAGAAGGAGCGGCTTCGGCGGGCCGGGCTCTTTTCTGCCGCTGCCATGAGGGGAAGGAGCGGCTCCGGCGGGCCGGGCTCTTTTCTGCCGCTGTCATGAGGGGAAGGAGCGGCTCCGGCGGGCCGGGCTCTTTTCTGCCGCTGCCAT